ACTTCAATCTTACTTGTGACTTGTCCTTGTACTCGAGGGCTTGTACTCTTTACCTGTGACAAGTGATGCGCTTGAGTTTGTCCATGTCTTGGTACTTGTGCCTTGTGATTGTACATGTGATGCCACTTGAAGAGACTCAGGTATAGGTTTAGGAAGCTTTGCTTCATGACAGCTGCTTTGTGGTTCACAAGTGTGTGGACTCATAGTGTTTTTGGCCTCATGAGCCAGTCCAATGTGCATGAAGAGATTGGTGAGACTGAAGATCTCTTGGCTGCTTCTCAGGAGGGAGATCTGCCTAAGACACCATCGAAGGCCTTGAAAAGGCCAGCCACAGCAAAGCCAAAAGCTCAAGGAAATGCTAAAGGAAAGCCTAAGATCAGGGCCAAGGCAAAGGCCAAAGCGGCTTCAAACATGGGTAAGAACAAGAAGTTAAAGGATGGTGACAAACCAACCTTGAAGCGACCAGCTGCTGCTGCAAAAGCAGAACCAAAGAAAGGACAGGGCTCTAGTTCCAACGGGGGAAGCTGTTGGGCAAAGGCACTGGACAAGGAGGAGGAGCGACCTGAGGAAGAAGAGCTGGAGCATGACCGATCAGGGTGAGGAATGTGAAGTCAACAAGAAGGACAAGAGCAAGGACGCCAAGTTCAAAAAGTTACTTGCGCAACGCCAACTTCCAAGTAAAGGCGCTGCTGTTCTCAAGTAAGAGAGGGTTGGCTCAAGTAAAGGCAGTGGTGAATCTCGCGTAAAACAAGTGTGGTCTCAAGTATGGTGGTGCTCTTTTTTGGATGAGCCTACAATGATCACTGATTTTTCTTTAGGAAACCAAAAATTTTTATAAAAAACACTGCAAAAGAAGACGTGAAATCATAGTCAAGAAATTTACTAAATGACCTAAATTAATTTACATTTTACCTAAATTAATTTACTTTACAATTTACGTAATTTTTTAGGTAAATTTGCCTTAGTAAATCAAAAGATTTACCTAAATTTTGTCCAGTGTAAATTTAGGTAATCAGCAGACTTAGGGCATCTACTGGGCGATGCCAGGTTTCGATCGATCAGGCAACACTGCTTGGTCTATGAGAACCTCCGCAAGCGGGGCTTCAGGCCGACGTACGGGCCCTGCTGAACAGATTACAGACTGATGAAATCTCGCCCTACAAGCTCCAGCAGATATGGCAGACCCTTAATTGGCTGTCCAAGATCTTTGGGCTACTGAAGGTGGATGAACACCAGCGCCTTGTCACCAAGAAGAAGGCCCTGGAGGAGGAACTTGCTCCCACGGTGATCCGCCCTCAGAAGAAAGCTGCAATCCCGTCGCGGGAAGTGATCTGGGCCTTGGAGGAAGGAGCGGCGCTTGGGGGACCCCTGGTGCCCCTGGCCCAGAGACCCCGGCGCCTGCGGCCCCTGGCCGGGAGCGCCGGGAGCAGCTGGATGCATTTATTTTGGGGTTTGCACGATTCCAGGTCGGCTGTAGTGCTCGATTTGACGACCTGCAGCACGTTCGCCCCGAGGAACTCCGGACCACCTCCAACACCATTGAGCTTCAGGCCTGGCAGACTAAGGTGGCCCGGGCAGCCAGAATCCGCACAAAGCCAGTACCACTGATCTGCCCGAAGTATAGCTTTTCGGGGGCACCCTGGCACCTACAATTCGTGTCCACGGTCCGGAAGCTCTCGATGCTCAAGGCCTTTGAGGGCATGGACTACCTCCTCCCCACGATCAGCAAGGACTTTGCGGGACTGATCCCGCGACTATCAGGAGGGGATCGGGCCCTGCGCTGGCTCAAGGACGCCCTTCGACGCCGGGGTGTGGCGCAGGAGCATGTCACGCCCCTCACTTGGCACTCCTTTCGGGTCTTTATTCCAGATTGCGCCTTCCAGCTGCAAGGTTCCCCGCTCCGAACGGCAATACCTGGGGAATTGGATGACCGAGTCCACAGCTGACGTATATACTAGGGAGAAGCGAAATGTTGTCACGGCCATCTGGACCAAGGTGGCCGACAAGGTGAACGCAATCAAGATGACACTGGGCAGAGAGCGCAGGGAGGACCTGAATCACGGGGACTGGGATGACCCAGTGACGGAGGTGGTGGACGCGGACGCGCGGTGGTTGAAGGTGAAGACAACGGCCTGGCCTCCCTACTCGCTCAGGCGATTGGTTTGCCAAAGGAGGACGACCAGGTCGATCAGGACTATCCTTACCAGGTGATCAGTTCCGACACAGCCCGGGGCCCGGAGAAACAGCTACGGGTCCACCTCCTCACAGTGGAGGGCTTTTGCTTGGGCTGCGGTTGGCGCCCCAGGAACACTCAGATGACCGTGCTGACCCCGGGGGAGTATGGGGCCAACCCTGCGGGATATGGCAAACGCACGCGATGCTTCTCCAAGGTGACCTTCCCCCGTCTTGGCTCGTGAATCGCCACGGCACAGTGGAAGGAAAGGACATGCCCGATCTTGAGGTGGACATGGAGAGCTCGGCCACATCGGGCTCAGATACTGACGACTCGGTGGACACTCAGTCAGAAGTTAGAAGCTGATGCTGTACCACTGCCGAAGGCGCTCCCATCTCCACCCCGTCCCACGGCCAGGTGCCCTTTGGCTCTGGAAAGGCGACGCGGGGGGAGCACACGTACAGGAGCTGCCTGCATCCTTCGGAAATGGCGGGTGTGCCAGGCAGACCTTCGGACTGGGCGAATCCTACTGCCTGACACACCCTTTGTCCCCTGGCGAAGCCCAGGGCACTTTAAACTGACCAAAAGATACAGGGTCTGGGGGAGGACCCCAGCATCAACCAAAGCGCATTGGAAAAAAGCCTGCGTGCAGCTTTTTGCGCTCTTGGGATCTTTTTGACTTCTGGGTACATATTCACACTTGCATGTAGCTTGCGGGTGCAAGTTTTATGTTCACGGAAGTTCCCACTGGGACATTTTGGCTCAAGTTGGTGGGAATCGCCCATTGGATTCCACCTGAACTTTGGAAGAAAACCCACCCAACCCGCCCATGATGGCAGCACCACCTGGGGCTGCTGGTGGCGGAGGGGGAGCCGGCGGCGGCCCTCCAGCCGAACCTGTGAAACCCCCCATGAGGCACCGGACGCACTCCGACCACTCCTGGATCTTCTGACGAAACCATTGGCTCTCATTCTGGTCGCCAAACAAATCCCCTGGGTAGTTCAGGCCAAACTGGCCCACGAAGGCTATGTGACCGTGGAGGATCTGGGGGACCGATGGAACACCCCGGACGACGCACGGGCCCAAGGGTTCAGGGACTTGGAGTTCCAGGACGGGGAGAACAACTTCACTGCGGCGTCCTCACGGTTTACTGCCATGCGCCTTTTGCAGGCGGTTAGAGCAGCCAAGTCAATGGCTCAGACACAGCTCCATGTTGGACGCACGACGGCCACGGAACCCAAGGGTCCCCCTGGACAGCCTCTGTGACCGGAGGGTCCTGGAGACCGCTTATGCTGATGCCTACAACTGCCTTAAACCCCGACTGGAGTCTCAGGGCAGTGATGCGTACCTGAAACGTCAGTTCAAGCACATTCCGGCCGGGGTTCTCGGCTACATCCAGGCCAAGCACGTTGTCGGGGCCGACCCGACGGCAACTGGAGAGAATGCGCACGGTTTTCCGGACCACCTTACTGATGTGCATTTGGGGCCAACCACAGTTTGCCCACCTGGGAGGCCCTGGACGAATGGTATGAGTGGTTCTATGGAGAGGACATCGCGGGTCGCAGACCTCCCCCGTCGGAGAGAGTCCTCCAGTTTGCAGAGCGCAATGCATGGCGCAAGATCCATGACCTGGTCCACTCCGGAACCCCACTCACTCAGGCCCTCTCAAAGCTCCACCATGACCACCTCTTCTGGCAGAGGGAGGTCTATGAATACTGTAGCAGTACCCCACGAACCCTGGACCCCGGTCTGGCAGACCCAGTGGGACAAGCCTGCCAAGGGCGGCAAGGACCCTGGCCGCAAAGGGATGAGACCAACCCCCAAGGGGGGCAAGGGCAAGACCCCTAAGGGCAAAGGCAAGGGCCAGTGGCCAGACTCCTGGGCATTCAAAGATTCCAAGGGGAAGGCCTTTTGCCGGGACTACCATTTGACAGGCACCTGCCAGGGCAGTTGCGGCCGGTCTCACAACTGCCCGGTCCGTCAAGGGGGATGGGTGTGCAACGCGTCCCCGGACAAGCGCACCCCGGATGAGTGCCCCCATGCTTCCAAGTGACGCCAGGTCGGTCCAGGTGCCCGTGGCCCTGCTCCACCTGCGTTGTACCGGGCGGACGGAAACGGTCCAGGTGCCTCGGGCCCTGTACCATCCATTCCACCCTCCGACGCACCGAGGCCTCGACCACACCTGGGTCCCTACTTAAGGACACCTTCACATACTGACAACGCTCCCGTGACTACCGGGGATCCGGCGCATGGGCCGGGAACGATTCCGAACCTGCCCAGGGCACAGACAAGTAGTACCCAGGTGGAACCGGCCTTCACCTGGATGGCTGACATCCCGGATAGACTACGACGACGCCTTCACGGTACCACTCCCGCCGGAGGCCAAACCGACCATCCTGCTGCTTTACGCCGGCAAGGACGATGCGGGCTCTCTGGACTCATATATTCATGCTACCTGCCCAGACCTCTCACCCTTGATCTGGGCGGTTGACATTCGGCAAGACAAGGGGCCCATGGGCCAGGACATGCTGCAGCCCACACTTTGGAACCATCTGTGCTCTTTGGCTGTAGCGGGGCTGCTCCTCTTTGTTGGGGGAGGCCCAAACTGTCGCACATGGAGCATCCTCCGATGGTTTCCCAAGCCCAACGCCCCGAGGCTGGTAAGGGGGCGGAGTGAACAGCAAGTGTGGGCCTCCCCTCCAACACGACTGAGGAACAGACCGACGCAGACAATGACAGCGTGCTGGTACTACGCCAGATGTACTTGACCTCACTGGCGTACCAAGGCCTCTCCCAGTGTGCCACCCACCGAGGGTGGGGTATTCCTTCCTGGAACACCCCAGGGACCCCATGGAGGTCAGCGCCAGCCCCCAAGCACATAAGTGCTCCACCCTGTGGGTGACCAGACAATACATCAAGTGGGCGAACCAGCTGCACCACCATCGCATCAAGTTTGACCAGTGCCGACTGGGCCTTATCAACCGACCTCCCACTACATCACTGGCAGGACCTACGATGCAACCACTCTGGGCACCAACCCCTGGGGAACATCCAATCCAGCGACCTTAGCCGCTACCCGGACCAGATGATGGTAGGCTTGGCTCAGGCCATCGCCAAGGTCCTCCAGGTCCCACCCAAACCCACCCAGCAGCACACCGTGGACCAGCGCCACGACCCTCCCCCCAAGAGGTCCCGGGAGGAGGGTCCCAACGGCAGTGCTCCCTCTCGAGCAAGTAAGGCAGCCAGGGCCAGCAGCGCCGCGGCCAGTGCGGCCACCATTCCTGCCACGGGGGCGGACACGTGGCAAACCAGTACCGTTTGGTCTGACTGCCCCAAGTTCGATCCCCATCTCCGAGGAGCTTTCGCTCCAGGATCCTCTGACGCCTTCAGGTGGCCTTCAAGACCAGGCCACAAACCATCCTGGCCGTATGGCCCCCTGGGCTAGACCTGCCTCCGCCTTGACCAGGCTAGGAGCCAAAAAATCTTGGCTCTGACAGCCCCATTCACAGACCAAGTGATGTGGTCGATCACATGCGAGTCCAAGCAGCACCCGTATCCAGACCCACTGCTGGGGAACATCAGGCAGGTCCTCCATCCCGGACACCACCACACCAAGCCGGAGGGACAGCCCTTCTACCTCGAGCTGATCTCCCAACTCGCAAACAAAGCCGGGGACCCAGACTGGCAATACCCACAGATCCTTGCCACAGGAGTCCCCCTGGGGGTCTCAGTTCCCACCCTCCCCCCCGGGAGTGTGGCCCCTCAAGAGCGAACTCGCGGGAGAAGACCCCGTTGAAGCGACGACCCTAAGGGCCATCACAATTATCCGTCAGCGGCAGACTTCTCCAAAGAAATCCGGGCTACCTTCGAAGAGGAGGTCCCACTGGGCATGACGATTGGTCCATTGTCTCGGCAACAGGCAGCCAAACTGTGTGGATGTGACCCGACCGAACTTGCCCAGGCCCCCTGGCCAGGTCCGTACCATCTACGATGGGTCGGTGGGGGGAGCAAATGCCAAGATCCAGCAGAACACTAGAGCACGTCCCCGGCCTACTCCAGGAGCCTCTGGCCCTGAACAGGCAGGGGACCCAGACGACCCAGCCCCAGCCTGGGACTGGCCCTCCAAGGACAGCCAGTGGATTCTGCTTAAGGCCGATGTGACTAAGGCCCACAGACGAATCAAGGTCCTGCCCCGAGATTGACGATTTCAAGTCGCACAGCTGGAGGATGAATGGTGGGTCAACAAAGTGGGTACCTATGGCATGGCGAGTGCACAGCTCTACTGGGGAAGAATGGCGGCCTTGCTCCTGAGGATCCTCTACTACCTCTTCCCCCAGATTGACTGGGCTTTGTGTTTGTGGATGACTTCTGCTGGCTGCTCCGCCTACCCGCTGGGCCGCAGTTCACCGCCGCACTCTTGGGCACACTAGTGGCTTTGGGAACTCCCCTCAGCTGGAAGAAGACTCACCTGGCAGAGATCAATACTTGGCTCGGCTTCGTGATCCACCCGGCCATACCCCGAGTCCAGATGGCGGCCCCCAAACACATCAAGGAGCTCCTGGAGGAACTTGCCAACGGATCCCCCCTGTCTGCGAAGGCCATCGAGAAGGCAACGGGCCGGATCCAATGGGCAACAGCGTGTTGCCCATTGACCAAGTCCATGCTCCAACCAGTTTGGGCTTGGAAGATGGCAGTCAGAACAATGGGCCACCCACCCAAGGTGGTCCGCATGCTGGCTTCTCTCCTGAAGGAGCTCTTCACTCACCCCTTCGAGCAATACTCACCCTTTTTGCCGAAGTCTCCCTGGTGGGGATGCAGCGATGCCAGTGCATCCTGGACTGGTGAAGCCTATGTTGGAGGCTGGTGCTCGGCCTCCCCGAATCCCACCAAAGACTCGGTCCTATGGTTCCACTATGCCATCACAGCGGACAAACATCCGTGGGCATTCAAGGATGGCAACCCACAGAAACGCATAGCTGCCCTAGAACTCCTGGGCACGCTCCTTCTTTGCAAGCACTTGGTGACCCAACAGGGCCAACTCCCGGGACGAGTGCGCCTCCCGGTTGGCAGCGACCAACATCTTCAGCCTGCTCAACCTCTCGGCCACGAAACCCTACTCGGCGGACTGCTGATGGAATTGGTTCTTTTCCTTCACTGTGAGGGCTGTAGCATTGCCCCCAACCATGTCCCCAGGGAATACAACACCTGGGCGGACGAACTTACTCACACGGACTTTGAAGGGTTCTCCTTAGATCGCCGGTTACCGGCCCCGGAGACCCTCTTTGTTTTTCCTTTGCCACGAGACTATTGTCTTCTACAGGATTTTCCTAGGTGCCCACCCAAGATCCCGTGACCGGATCAGGTGGGCTGTCCTCCCGACCCTGTCCCCTGGCACCTCGACAGGTGCCCATTGGCCCTGGGAGGACCAGGGGACGCCGGGTGTTGGGCAGCGGTGGGCGAATCCTACTGCCTGACACACCCTTTGTCCCCTGGCGTTAAACTGACCAAAAGATACAGGGTCTGGGGGAGGACCCCAGCATCAACCAAAGCGCATTGGAAAAAGCCTGCATGCAGCTTTTTGCGCTCTTGGGATCTTTTTGACTTCTGGGTACATAATAGAAACAGAACAACCACTCTTGAGTCAACACTTCAGAATGCCCACACAAGTTAAATCAAGGTACCACTGGGCCAGACACATGTGCCAAGACTCAGAACGTTGATGGAAGGCTTGGAAGCACCAACAAGTCAAGACGCTCCTCAGATCCATCGAATTCACGCGGTCTGTGTAGGCCTTTGAGGAGGCTAGAGTGGTGAGATTTGATGCCACCAAGCTCCTGCCGAAGCACATGTTCAATGCCACACTGGAAGACATTCGAGAATTGCGCCTAGGCCGCCCTTTCAACAAGGTGTTCTCGTGTTTTGTCAGGTTTTTCATGGTTTTTCCCTTCAATGCGGAACTGCGCTGATCGTTTTGTTGGCTTGACACCTGGCGGAACTCGCGTGTGAGCGGCCCAAGGCACCCGGACACGATCAATGAGACGATTCTGTATGGTACTTTTGGTGGAGGTGGTTTGTGCCGCATGTTTCTCCTGGGGAGAGTGTCAAATTGGTACCCCGTCATTGGCAGGACCTTGCTCTTCTCAGCCTTGAGGTTAGGCATGATGGGCCTGCAGCAGGCCATTTGTGGCTTGAAACCACTTCCATATTGGATGGCCAATCCTGAGGCGAGGGTCAGACTTTCCACCGCGAACATCAACCTGAAGCGTTTGCCCAACTTAGATGAAGGCCTCAATGTGCCTGAGAAACTGGGATTGGGTTCCGAAGTAGCTGGCATGTTGGGCTTGCTCTGGATGGGCATGGTCGATCGACCCATTGCCCGGCAATCCTTCCATACGGATGTCCAGGACAATATTTTGATGGAGCTGGTCTCGACCACGGAAGTCACTGTCGTGCCCCGCCAGGTCTTTTGGGGAAAATCAGAGATGTCTCAGGTCTCGGGCCAGTATTACAATGTCAGCTTAAAGCCTGGCGAAGGCATTGTCATTCCAAGCAACTTCCTTCACACGGTGCACCATTTGCATATCGACCGACTAGGAGTCTTGGCAGAGTCCCAGACCAGACTGCATGTTTGTGGTTTTCTTTTGAAGGATCTCCCAGTTTTGTTTTGACTGTCAAACGGCTTCGTTGCCACCTCCAAAACAACGTCGGATCACGTAGGTGAAGTGGCGTAGACCGTCCGCCGTGCGGCTTCGTTCTCCGAGTGCTGTGGAGTTTTTTTCGTAGCTGTGGTCGTACGGCCGTTGTGAGGGTGCCGTGGTGAGGGTACTGCGGTTCGGTTCTTTCTGTTGGAGCGGGGAAGAAGCACTGCGAGCTAGGGTTTATGCTGGTGCCTTTGTTAGTCTTTGTTCTTGGCCTCAGGAGTGAACTACTTTTTTGAGCCGAAATTTGGTGCAATGCAGTGGGCCAACTCGATTGGGAACTTCTACGCGGAAAATGCAAAGGATAATAAGGAACACTTGGCCATGAGAGCCTTGTGGTTCAAATCTGCCAACGTTGTTTGGGAGAGATATCAGCGTGGAATCTCATTCCATGGCTGGAAGATGGAGATTCTGTAGAAAGGCAGGGACCTTTCGCGTCGATGTTGTGAGACCGCAAAAGGCGGGGAAAAAGGCACTGAGAGATCTCGACTCCGGAAAGACCCAAATTGCGGGTGTATCGCTACTGAGAGACTGGTTGGTGGATTGCTGAGTTTCAAAGCATGACCAAGCACGGTGCACCAAAACCTCGGGCTCAAGCGGAGCTTCAGGAGCTACTGCATGACGCAGATCTACTGTCAGCGCGGAACCTCAAGGTGCATGAGAACTCAGTGGCTAGATGTGCCTAGATGTGCCTCAGAGTGCGGATTGCAGAGGCTCATGTCACAGATCGAATATCAGACGTGCTCTCGATCCTGAAGTAACCAAACCCCACAGGTCATGCAGTCGCATCGGTTGTTCATGCGTCTCCATGTGACGTCACAGCGGAGGAGAAAGCCACAATACCCATTGACGTCATGGCGCCATGCGTCGAACAGAACTAAAGACACGAAACAACGAATGACCGATGTGGTACAGCAGAAGTCACACTTGCTTCCAACAAAACGGTTCCAACACTATCCAACTCACAGTGGATGGGAATGGCAAAGAATTTGACACTGCTGGCTCCTGCTATACATTTATCAAATCAATTCAAATGGATGTTTCCCTGTAATGACTTCTTGCTCCTTCATGCAGCTGTTCAATATGTGTGGGAACACTAGTGCAATTCGTTCAAAGGTGCCAGTCCGCTGTGGTATCCCTGCGGGGCTTTTTCTATGGGCCACCTCTTTTGTTGGGCCTGCTAAGGAGCAATGGTCGGATGAGCAGATGGCGGCTAATTTGGGCGCGGGTGTAGTTGCATGAGGAGCTCCCATGATGAAAGACGTTAGATCCAGGCAAGTTCCACGACGAACGCTTATTTCTATAACAATAGTGTTTGGCTTTCCATTCGCTTTATTTGCAATTTTGGAAATGCGTATCACCACCAATGCTCTCTCCTATGACATGTTTGTGTTACCAATATGTAAGCGTTTGTGTTTGTGTGTGTCAGAAGCACATATATGACATATATACTACACACACACACCCGAACAGACAAGTATGTTCAGGTAGGTGTGGTTTGTCTCTAGTACCCAGACAGCGCAGAACCGATTTCTCTCCGTCTTTTCATGATCACGTTTGATGCATGGATGATCCTGCTGCAGATTTCGATCTGGCTCTCCGTGCGCCGCGCCCGTGTACATAGCCAGGAGATTTACAGGAGCTGAGTCTTGGCCAAAGACCCTGGGTGAGGCCTTTGGTGTGCAAGTGGCCAACAAACAGACAAGACAAAGATATTGTTTTTCTTCTTATTTTCGGTTTGCAGGTCTCATTTTCCCAATTCAAGTTGTTTGGAGAGACAGATTCTTGAGCCCACCCTTGTGCTCCGTGAATGCCTGACAAATCTTTGCGCAGCGTTCCCGGTACTTCCATCTCTCATCAGAGCCAGCGGTAGCGCCCTTGGCACGGCACTTGCTCAGATGGGATACGAAGTGCCACCCTTGGCACAAGCTGCTCCTGGAAGCTTGTTTTTGTCTACGCCAGGTTTGCACAGCCAAGATTTCATCAAGTTTCTGGTTCCTGAGAGCGTCCAGGATGCACCAATTTTCACTTCCCCTTTCCGCCTGTCAAAGTTTTTTTTTCGGCGGTGGCCAGGTTTTGATGTGTTGCCTTGTTTTTCTTCCTTTTAATGACTGGAGATCATCTAGGCCTTAAGGAAGCCTCATTCCCATGTGTTCGGCATGGCGTCGCAGCAACAGACGAGACCACGGTCTCGATGCAATTTCCTCCCTGTTTTTTTGCAACTCAAAGAATGGAACTTTCTTCTTGACTTACCAAAACACCTCCAACAGGGCAAAGTCTCCATAAATATGCCAGAGGGCACACTTTGAGGACATTGGCTTTGAACACTCGAAAACTGGCCTTTTCCTGAGCGGGCAGATCCTTTGAAGATCCTTCGCCCATCTCAGCCGGGTACAGGAGGATCCTGCAGGCTTGTAGAACGCCAAATTGCCCCAGCTTCACTGGCAGGGTGCCGAGAAGGCATTTGTGGGGCGCCTATCCTTTTAGGTGGAGGCCATCGCAAGCAGGTCGGAGGCCATCGCTACCAGTGGCAAGAAGAAAAGACAATTTCGCCATGGACGTTCCAAGATCTGCACCAAGCCAGTCGACCCTCAGGGCGACCATTTGCTTTCTCTTGAAGGCGACAGAACGCCACGTAGGAGGCGTGGAGATCAGCGAAAAGGAAGGGCCACGCGGGTCCCGGGATCACACCGCGAAGACGTTTCTGAGCCACATCGACGGGTTCGAAGCTTGATGCAGCTTGTAGTTGAGGTACTTGGACTTTCTCAAGGAGAAGAGAAGACAAATGGCTGGATCCTCGAAAGCTGAAGAAGGGGCTCTGAGGCAAAATCGGAATGTGCAGTTGAAACTGGTTTGGTTTGTTTGAAGCGTTATCATAGTATATCCTAGTCATGTTGCTGCATGCTCCTGCAGCGTTAGCTGAATGCAAGCACATGCCGTCAGCACACAAGGTGCTTCGCCATGGTACTGTTAACTGTTAGCATGTCTAAGGGGTTTGAAGTTTGAAGGATTTGAAGGGCATTCCTGGAACCACACAAGGCAAGCAACATGACAGTTCATACTTGTTGTCCAAGGTTTCTCCAACAAGAATGCAAGTCTTGCATGTGGACATTTCAAGTTCAAACTCCAGACTCCAGGCTGGCTTGGTCGTTGGAGCCTTGAGCTTCGGTGTGCTGGCACCTTTGGCCGTGGCATCGTTCCGCGGGGAGTGTGGCGCCCAGGACACTGCACCCGGTGGGGCCTGTTCAGCGGGGAGTGTGGTGGGTTAGAGACCGGACGGCTTCTCTGGACGCTGTTGAATTGCCTCCCGTTTGCTCATGTTTGCAGGGTATCACACGTGCAGTGGCCTGCTCACAAGGTTTGAATCACTTTGACACAGTCCAAGATGTAGATCATCATTGCACTGCTGCCTGCTTTACTTCAGACTTCAAGGCCGCAAGAGAGCCTTGCTGCGGTGCAGATCATGGTGAGCCCAAAACTTGCAGAGCGTCAAACTGTGGAAATGTCCTGAACCTCTGACGAGGAAGCAATCCCTTACTGTTGATTTGACGTAAAATCCCGTGGACGGGCATGATTTTGGCCGAGCTCGAGCTTTGAGTAAATCTGCTTGCAAACAAGAAATTGCTCCAAAGACCAAGTTGGATCAGACAGATTCTTTCACTTGCGCTTGGTGTTCACGTTGGAACTTTACATAGTGGGTACAGTATAGATTTGTAAACACAGAAGCTTAAAGACACCTGTTTGCCATGAACTGCTCCCTGTTTCACGCGTATTAACTTGACTGGACAGGCACAGCTCTTTGCCGTGACGGTGGTTGGCTTAGCAGCTTATGGAGCTGTTGAAGGTGGATCGCGGCGAGACTTCTAGAGCAGAGGCAAAAGGTGGTTGTTTTCACATTCATTTACAGAAGGTTCATTGTCCCTTCCGTTCCTGAAGCACATGAATGTATCCTGCCAGATATGTTTCGTGACGCTGATTTGCTGCAACTGGACATGCTGAACATCGATGGTGGGGGGGAGCCTTGAATGCCATATTAGAACAGCACCCCCAGTCGTGAACCGCCTGGCACCCCCAGTCGTGCCACTTCTTCCGGCTGAATTTTCATGACACGGCCGCCGTTTTTCGACCTGAAGTGGAGGTCCAGTTGGGCAGGCTGGTTGGAAAAAGCATGAACAGGTTGTGAAATTCTGTTAGATCAGCTGATCCGAGCGGTGCTTTATTTACAGTATTTGTTTGGCTGTGCCCCTTTCGATTGGCCCTTCCTTCATCGCATTCACCCAGACCTGATCTTCGACGTCCGCTTGGTCATCTAGTCATGCACCAAAACTCCAAACCCAAGGGGTCGGGCCAGCGCATGATGAGAGCTGAAGAGGGCTGAAAACGCAAAAAGTCAAGTCTTCATGTGCCCTGTTTATTTTGTTTAGACAGGCACCTCCTATTCATCTATCTTTGACCTTGTGGGACAGGTGTTTGGAAGGGACAGTCCCGGTTCGGACAGTTTGGAACAGTTTCTCTACTGCCGTGGTCTTGTCTTCATTTAGATATGTTTAGTAGATTTGAATATTTGTGTACAACGGGTAGTCCACCATGATGTGCCTTTGATGTCCTTTCCATTCTTTTCCACCCTCTTAAGGCCAATCTCCTTGAAAGCCCGACTTCTGCTCTTGGAAAGCTGTGCCACACTTCTGCTCTGGGCCTTCGAGTGGACGCAGCGGTGCCTTTGGAGAAAAGCCTCGAAGAGACGCAAGGGAGAGAATGGCAAGGCAGAGGACAGATGAGACGCAAGGGTTCGGATGGTTCTGAATGCCGAACGTTAGACCCCTGCAGTCATGGTTGGGGTCAAACAGCTCAAGGCCCTGATGTGAGGAGGCCACGTATGTTGGATTGCGGGAAAAGGGATGTGCATCTCCGAAGCTCTCAGCAGCCAATTGCTCAGAGTCAGACTGTCAGACTCCATCATTTGCGACGAGTTGCCATGGCTCGGGCCCAGGCGTCCAAGCATGGCTTGATGCGATTACAGTTTGCTTCTGAACTCGTTGACACTCCGACTGGGCAAGAAAGGAAAGTACAACTGGAACTGGAACTTGCCAGTGAGTGAAATATTGTGAAATTAGGAACTGATCATTTTGCAATCAGATTCCATCAGATTCCAAGAATCTACAGAAGGATACAATACTCAAGTGGTTTTGGACCAGGTTTTCCGAGCCATTCTGTTGAGACCATGCTATATCTTTCGCAGGCGCGCCACTCTGGCACTGGCCGTTGCTGTGCGTGGCTCAAGGAGTGCAGGGCGGGCAGGTTTTTGAGAGTTCACATTCGGATCTGAACTGTCAAGAGAGGATTGGTTGTGGGTATTGCCACTGGATATCACCAGATGCTTCTCAAGGTATATGCAGAAGATGTCTATTGGCACCATATTTCAAGGATGTTCAAGGCGTAAACACATTGTAGTACACATCGCTTTTGCTCGTGTGTGTGTTTTTGTGAGCGTTCGAGTTGCGATATCCTCGTTTCGATCAGCGCTTTACAGCGTGATTTGTGACACATAAGGTGTCATTCGTGTGTCTTTACTCTGTGATTTTGTGAAATATGTTCTTGCTTCCATAGCGTGGTTAGTTTGAGAGGGGCTACCCATGGGGTATTCTCTGTTCTTTTTTTTTCTTCAGTTCATTGTTTGCTGCTGGTACAGAAACAGAAATTGAAAAGGAGAACGGAAAAAGGAAGGACTAGTCAAGGGGGTAATGGCTGAGAGTCCGAGAAAAGTATTGGAGGAATTATTCGGTGCTGGAGCGTGCGTGAGTGGAGCGTAATATTGACATTAATAGCGATGGCCTCCAACTCATTGAATTAGTTTTTTAAATATAGCGATGGCCTCCAACCTAATAGCGATGGCCCCTAACTTGATTTATTGCCTCCTGAACACTCTTCAACTTTTTACAGTACTTATTCGCTTGTATGGATCTTTGATATCAACTGCGCTGGATGACCTCCTTGTTTCTTCTACAGCCATGAGTTGTTCCTTGGACCACGCTTATCTGCTTGAGCAGAGAGGAATCAACCTGTAGCTTCAGGAAGATCATAGCCACGCCACAAGGATCACAAAGCAAATATGACACGTTGCAAGTGGACAAGCTGGGCTCGGGCCTTCTCTGATGCAAATCGAGCTCCAGTGAAGACACGCACCAACGCAGCCTTCTCCTTTCAATCGTTTGGGTTTGAACCACGCTTTGTGGTGCTGCAGGGCCTTCTCGAGCCAGTTTTTCGTCGCCGGCGCCCTCCACCTCCTCCAACAGCTGAGCTTGGTGGGGCTGCAGGGATGACGCTGGCAGATCGAGTTTTGTGGTTGAGGTCAGTGTTGGTATTTGTGAACATATCTGCAGCTTACATTTGCGGACAAAGCAAAAGGACAAACAGGATTAGATGTATGATTTATGATATAACATGATATAACCAGTGATACCATTCTTCTTGGGATTGTAAGTCTCCAGCTGCAAGTGTATCAGTGTATCGGAATGTTCCTGGTTGTTGCCCAGCAGACTCCCAAGATGTGTTTTTCAAAGAAATTGGCACCATGTTGGCAGGTTCCACTCTGCTGGAACACCCCATCCCAGCACGTCTCCTGGTGGCAGTTAGCTTGGGGATGGTTTCAATGGTAGAACCGCAGAACATATACCTTTCTTCCTTTTCGTTTTTTCTTTGTTCTATTAGCGATGGCTTCCAACCTACTAGCGTTGGCCTCCAACCTACTAGCGATGGCCTCCAACCTGCTAGCGATTGGAAAATCGCAGCTTTGGACTACAAGGAAACCATAGGAAACCCATCGATACCATGTCATTCTACCACGTTTCACAGACATACACATCCAACAATTGCCCAACATGCTGGTCAGGCTAGGCTGGTTCCTACCCAGACACCCAGCAGAATGAAGACTGTAATTATATATATATATATGTTGTTTAATGCAGCAATGATCATAATTATGATAAACAACAAACAAACATGGTCCAACCTGTTTCAAAATTGCTTAAAGCCACCATCGAGGGCGGCTGCGCAGCCAAGGCCAGCGAGATGTCAAAGCCGGATTGCCGGCTGAAACTGCTGTGGAGGTGGCAGCATGTGAAGCGAGTGAGTGGTCGTGACAGTTCGTATATGCAGGCTGCAATGCTTGCCGTTTTGCGCGGCGTACTTTGGCGATCTCTCACCATCGCCTATCCATCATCCAATACTGCAACGTCGCCCTCTTACTATTGGACTTACCGGCAGGGAAATAGTTCCCCAAGCCCATCTTATGAAATTGCACCCAGGGAGGCCAATGTTTCACCAAGGCCAAGGCCTTCAACTTGAATGCATGTGCGTTCTTACCCGTCGCAGGTGCCGGCCCGGCCTTTGAAACCTATCCGGAACGAAATTCCCGGCCGCTTGGGGCCAACGAAGCAGCCGCATGTTGCGTTTCATACAATCATACCATCATAAACGGAGCTATATTGACTTTCACGATGCCACAGTCAAGGATTGCACATCACTTTTGTTTGGTATCTTACTGCGATCTTTATCTACCACAGAGGGGACCGGGCAAGACAGTACATCATTTGCGGGTGTTTGTGGACCCAGGCATGTTGGAATGCCTCAAGGGTGCACGAGCGGATGTCCAAGACATCAAGGTGGCCCTGGAAGCGGCGGAGGTACGGCCAAAGTCTAAAATCTCGCAACTGTGCATGGCGATAGGGATCCTGACAGATTCATTGGATTGATTTTTGTGAACCAAAAAACATACTAATTATCAAGATTGCTCAGAGGGATCGAATCTATGATACACACCTTCCAGCTTCGTTTGCGTGTGGCTTCGTGTCTACAAACATTGACAGCGACTGAACCACAAGTCGACACACCGACACCGGCTCTTTCTGCGATTGACCAGCTCCTTCGGTGCTTGCAGGAGCCGAAAAAGGCTTTCTTCGAGAGCGCTGTCTTGTTCGCCGGGACTTCCGGCGCCTCGACACACCAAGTCACGAGCTGGGCCACGATGTTCTCAATGCTGTTGCTTGAGGAATTCCCTGCCATGACCTATAGTCAGTGACACATAGCTGGAAAGTAGATCACAAGGTTCACAGGTATCCAACAAACCTTTTTTCTATGAGGCTTGTTCGGTTGTTGTGCACCCAAACAGTTTCAAGTATTCTGAAAAGCGAGTGGCCACCAAGAGCTGGGCTTACTATGAAGCATCTCTTGCTTTCCAAACTTGTGTTGACCAATCCTCCTGAAAGTGGCTTACAGTGGCTTACTGCTACACTGCAATCCCCTTTCTGATTCCGGCCCAGCGAGGCCCCGTGCTGTGTATGTCTTTGGATGCGAACGGCATCCACTGTGAGGGCCAGTGCTCCGGCAGCTTTGGTCGTGTTCGAGCGTGGCGGTGATGGATGGGAATATGATGTCGCTTCTTGTTCCTAGTAGCGTCCTTGCTCCTAGTAGTACGGCCAGGAGCCCCTAGTAGCGTCCTTGCTCCTAGTAGTA